GGGGTGGGGAGGATTGGGGTGATGGTTGGGGATGGCAGGTAGGTGGGTTGTGGCTGATACGGAATAAATAATCAGATGTTGTACTCAAAATCGGTGTTCATCTTCTTGAAGGATTCCAGGGATCCCAACGACAGTCAAATGCTGAGCAGCAAGGCCTCCTTGCACCCGCACAGGGAAGTGTCACAGGGAAGTGTCACGGCTTTCTCCTGCCTCACACCCCACTCAGCCATGCGCTAAAAAAACACCCCAAATCACACACACACACACACACACACATGCGTGCGCACGTGGCGCACCCATTCATACATCACTCGGGCCGGCAGCCCCGGAAACTACCTTTTCACCCCTCCTTACCCCCAGGCCCCCAGTGCGCGCTGTCCAGGCGGGCTCACTCGTGCCCCGCCAGCCCCATGTAATCCTCTAGGATGTCTAGCATCATCTTGAACTGGCTGAACACCACCACGCGGTGGCCGGCCCCCTTGAGGCGCGCCAGCAGGCGGTGCAGCACGGCGAGCTTGCCTGGGGGTTGGGGGTGCAGGGGTGCGGGGGTGCGAGGATCGAGCGCGATCAGGCTGTCATCGGCGCCACATGATGAGATTCTTGCAGCATCGCTCCGTCAACAACGCTGGAAAAGCATGATGTAATGTAATGCAATGCACTGTTCCTTAAGCCACAAAGCACCGGAGCGGGGCGGAACAGGCAGACGCCCGCAGCCGCTGCTGCCACTTGCCCTGTGCCGAGCGACCTGTCCTCCCCGCCTATGAGCCCTGCAGCTTTCATACACGACAAACAAAAAAAAACTCAGATCCACACACACACACACACACACACACACACACACACACACACACACTCACACACTCACACACACTCACACAGAGATAGACACTCTCATTCACACGCTCTCCCTCTTGGAATCACACCAACGCACGCAAGCGAGCAAGCGCCCCTCCCCCTCACCCGACGCGTCCAGCATCTCCTGCAGGGTGGCCGTCCCCTCTCCCCTGGGCTCGCTGTCCGGCATCATGAAGGGGTGGTTGACCACCTTGCGCAGCTGCATTATGAGGTTCAGCAGCCGCTGCCAGGACGAACCCGACCCCGCCAGCGCCGGCCCCGCCGCCTGGCCCTGCTGCTCCTGTGCCTCCTCCTGCTCCTCCTCCTGCCGCCGCTGCTGCTGCTGCTGCTGCTGCTGCTGCTGCTGCTGCTGCTGCTGCTGCTGCTGGGCCTGCCCTGGGCCCTGCCTGCCGCCCGCTAAGCTCGCCTCCAGGGCGGCGAGCGCCTCGTAATTGCGCAGCAGCAGCCTGCGGGGGCAGTGGCGGCACCAGCCAGGGACAAGAGAGAGCGCGGTACGTGAGGCATGGTCGGTGGCCCCCATAAAGCACACAAGGGGCACAGTTCAAGACCAGAGATGCACCGTGGGTGCGGCTGTGCAGTGCTCATGGAGGTCTGGATTGGCAGCGCGGTCCGAGACAGCGGTTGGGTGCGTGCTTGGCAGACACCCATGTGCTCTGTCGAGCAGGGGCCCCAACAAAGCCTGGGACGCTGCAGAATGCAGCACCTGTCCGCCCCTCGCTGCACACCTGCAGTGCGTTTTGGGAACACAAAGGGGTGCCCTTTCCAGATGCCTGGCCGGCATGAGCTCACCTCCTGTACCAGAAGGTCTGCTGCGCGCTGAGGGGCACCGCGATGCGCGTCTCGATTTTGGGGGGCAGGCTGACCTCCACCTCTGGCGGCCGGCAGCGGTCCAGGGTTTGGGTCGAGCAAGAGGGGCGAGGGTGGTTTGAAAGGCGAGGAGGCGAGGTGGGGCTTGGATGATGCGACAGCGAGGGGAGCTGGTGCTGCGGGCGCTTGGCGTTGATTGAGGTGCCCGCTGTGTGGGTGTTGTGTGGCATGAGCACAGGAGCGGACGAGAACGCCAGAGTCATGTCACTGAAGTCAGATGGTCACTACAGGGTCGCGGCTGGCCGCGCGAGCGCGCACCTGTCTTGAGGCGGCGCAGGCAGAAGGGGCGCAGCAGGTAGTGCGCAGCAGTGAGCGCCTCTTGGTCCACCTGTGCAGAAGTGAGATGATGCAAGGGGGGATGAGCAGTCGTACACAAAATGACACCACTCAACACCAAATGTTGAGGACCACACGCCGAAGCGCCCCTGCCAGAAGCCCGGACGTCGGCTGCAGGACCCGATCCAGCCGCAGTCGGCTCTGATTCCCATCGACGGTAGCCCAGCCAGTCACAGCTGCGCCCCATCGCCCCGCCCGCCCCGCCCCTGCCCTTGAAATGCCGTGTGCAGACCTGGCCTTTGCCCAGGTTGAAGGCGACCTCAAAGGGGGCGCGCGTGGTGAAGACGTCTGGGTGCAGCAGAGACAGCAGACCGTGCAACTCCACCATGTTGTTCTGTAGGGGGGTGCCTGTTGATGTGGCGTGTGAGTGGGTTGGTGCGCGTCTGTGCAACACAACGGTAGGACACACAGAGAGAGAGAGAGAGAGAGAGAGAGAGAGAGAGAGAGAAGAGTGTGTGTGTGTGTGTGTGTGTGTGTGTGTGTGTGTGTGTGTGTTGTTTGCGTGATGATGTGTACATTTGCCGGCACTCGCAAGTGGGTGCAGGATGCGCGCCTGCGCAGGTCATGTTTGGAGCGTGGGGAGGTGGTTAGGCGGACTACTGGGGCCCAAGGTTGAGACCTGCAACGGCCACGTCAAGCGGCAGGGTTGATGCTTCTGATCCCCCTCCCGAGCCAGCCCCTTGGATCCAGAGCCGCGTCCGCACCTGTCAGGAGCAGGATGTTGCCGCGCTGCACGCGCCTGAGCGCCGCCGCTGTCAGCGTGTCGACGTTGCGCACGCGGTGGCCTGCCGTCCGGGGGTTGCATCAAGCGTAAAGCTCGTACATGGGCGGACACTTGGCGGGCGTGCTGCAGGCAGGCTCTGCTGCGGCAGCTGCCAGCAACGACCCTCGCAGCAGGTCGGGTGCGCAGACAATAGCCACACACAGACACCAGACAGCCTGGCACAGGCACCCCACCTTCGTCCAGCACCAGGTAGCGCCACGTCTGAGAGTATAAGGGGCCAGGCGGCGCATGTTGCGTGCGCGAGGGCTCAAAGGTTTTGGGCCAAACTGCACGCTACGCAACCAAGGCCTGAGGATGCAGGCAAGCAGACCCTGCCTTTGCGGCGGTTGATGGTGGTCTGAACAGTTCCGGAACGCGCTGACGCGTACACCCGCACACCCTGTTGCCCTGGGTCATATCCTGGGACCTTTCTAGCCTGGGGGTATTGTCACCAAGAGCGGGGATCACCCACCACAGTGGTCTGTATGGGCCGGCCAAAGTCGACGCTGGTGACCATCTCGTACGTGGTGACGGCCACGTCGAAGGTGTCAGGCCGTGCAAGCACCTGGTGGTGGGCAAGTGCGCGTGCTAATGTGCATGTGCGTGTATGTGTGCATATGTGTGTGGGTGCGCATGTGTGTGTTTGTGTGTGCGCGTGCCTGCGTGTGTGTGTGTGTGCGTGTGTGCATGTGTGTGTGGATGGGGAGATGTAGACAGCCTTCGCTGGAAGTATGATCATGTGAGCACAGCACCGACAAATTGCCCCATCAGGAAAGGCGGGGGCCGCACCAAATGCGCCACAGGGGCGCCCCACGCACCTCTTTGCGCAGCCTGGCGCGCTCAGCGGTGTCCGACGTGTGCAGCCGCACCACTCGCAGATCAGGGCACCACCTTCAAGGGGTTGAGCGGCGACACACGCAGACAGGACGCTCGGTGGGCGACACGGGGGACCAATTACTAGTGGCTCATTACTAGTGGGCCTGCCAGCAGCAAATCTTTGGCCGTGCACAAGCAGAATCTCAGGATTTAAAGTCCCTGTTATGGCCCCCCAAACCCTGGGCCCACCTTGCCAGCTCCCCCATCCAGCTGGACATGACCGACAGGGGCACCACCACCAGGTGCGGCCCGGGCACCCGCAGGTTCCACTTGAGGTGGGCCAGGAACGCAATCGTCTGAAGGGTCTGTCGACCATTAGGTCCCCGCAACAGAGTGGGGTTGGGCGGGGTCTTGAGGTGAATTATTTGGTCAACATGTCGTATTAGCAACGCTTGAGCAAGACCTGAGCAGGTCAACTGGACAGGAGCACCTGCTTTGGCCTGCCGTTCTGGGCGTGGCAGGCAACCATTTGGGCCGGACTAGGTGGCAAGCGGAGATTTCAAATCATGCCGTCAGATCAGCGCCCGCACGCACCTTGCCGAGGCCCATCTCGTCTGCCAGGATGCAGTCGATGCCCCTGTGGTGCTGAGCCACCAGCCACGCCAGGCCCTCCAGCTGCGGACATGACGTGGGCGGTGGGGGGGTCGGGGGGTCGTATTGGGTGCCGTGGGGTCCTGGCCAGGCCGTTGGCAGGGGCTGGGCCCTGGGCTCGAAGTCGTGGCGCCTGCTGGCGGTAGGCGCTCCTGAAAAGGTGCAAGCCGACATGCTTGAAGCGCGTACGTATGCACGCATGTACGCGCAAGCACTTGAAGACGTACCTACACTGTCGTTTTGTGCCTCACGCACATGCACATACGCTCTGCCACATGCCAGTACGCGTGCGCGCGCACACACACACACACACACACACACACACACACACGAATGAAAGCCCCTCGCCGCCTCGCTGAATCTCTCTACCTGTCTCTTCCTCTTTTGCTTTCTCAACATGGAGCCCCGCCACCACGCACCCACCTGGTACTCCCGCAGCACCGCCTTGATCTGCGCCGGCTGCCCCTCCAACGGCTCAGGGTCCTTCGGCCGCGCCGGCAGCGCGGCCGCCGCGCGCTGCAGCGCCTCTGCGACTGCTGGTGCTATGAAGGGCCGCAGCTTGTCGAGGTAGGACGCGAGATAGGCGGTGCGCGCAGCCGCGAGGGCCTGCGCAAGCGGGGGTTGGAAGGGCGAGCGGTTTGGCACCAGAAGGTTTGCCAGCTAGTGGGTGGGCTCAGCGTGTGACAACTAACGGCCCCTGCAGGGCAGTCGCTGTTTGGGGCCTTCAGCCTCAGAATCAAGGGCGCCCCAAGGTCACAGGCTCGCCTACCTGGGCCGACGCCTTGACACCTGCGTTGTGCGCGCGGCGCGCTGCTTGCGCCTCCCCGACCTCCTTGTCCTGCGGTGCTTTTATGACTGGCTTGAGCTTTGGCTTCTGCTGTTGATGCGGCTTCCGAGGCGGCGGGGCGGTGGAGTAGCCTCGCTCTGTGTAGGGCTTGTCTGCGGTGGCGAAAGCAGCAGCACACGCGCGACGGTTGCAGTGGCAATTCAGATCACAAGACATGCGCTTGACTGCTGCAGGAACCGCCTTGAAATGACACGCATTGCCTGCGGCGACCGGGTGACATATAACGTGCAAAAATGGTCACGTGACTCCGCTCCCCTCCTCGTGGCGGGCCTCTCCTCGAGCCCGGGGCGGCCCGTCCCTCGACCCATCTGAAAGCACCGACGCACCCCAGCCCCTCGTGCCCCAAGCCCCAGCCCCGGCCTCACCTGTGAGCTCCTTGTCAAAGACAGACGGCTCCCCCCCCTCCAGGTTGTACAGGTTGTCTCGCAGCACCGGCACGCGCCCGACATACACCACGCGCGCCTTCGCTTCCCGCCCACTGCGCCGCGGCGGCGGCACCGGCGCGCCAGCTCGCCGCGGCGGGCGCCCCGCTGGCGCTGCCGCAGCCTTTGTGAGGGCGTCCTCCTCGTCCCGCCCTTCATGATCATCTTCATCCTTGCAGTGCTGCTGCTGCTGCTGCTGCTGCTGCTGCAAGTCCTCCTGCAGCTGCTCGTCTCCTTCCTCTTCCCCCTCCCCTGTTTGGTCCATTTCCTCATCGGCCTCGTCCAGACCCTGCTCCTCGTCCTTCACGTCCTGCTGCAGCAGCTGCGGCCCCGCCCCGCTCCGACCCTGTGCATTCGCCGCGACCGCGTCCGAGCCGGCGGCGCCCTCCTCTTTCTTCAGGAGCACAGACGTGCCCAGCGACACCGACGCCGCGCTCTGGGAGGGCCGCGGGGCCCCGTAAGCGGGCTCGCAGGGCAGAGTGGCGGGGATGCCAAACTGCGCGGAAGTCAGTGATGGTGAGGGAGGTGCAGGGAAGGGTGTGGTCTGGTATGGCTTCGTGCGTGGCCAGGTTCCTTGCCTTCGTGCTGCTTTCAGGGGAGCTGCAGCGCACCTTACCAGGTGCATGCAATTCAGGCTTGCAGTGTCGCCCGAGCAACAGCGCTCACCGCAGCCTTGCGCAGGTGGGAGAGGCCGACTTCCTTGAGCAGCGCCTCTCCTGCCCTGCGGGCCTCAAAGCGGCCCCACCCGTGCTGCAGGCCCCGCTCGTTGCCCTGAAGCTGCAGCGGCGGCGGCACCCAGGTGTAGGAGGGCCGCAGGTTGGAAAGGATCCGCACAAAGCTGTAGCTATGGCCGATGTCTGCGTTCGCACGGCATTTTGTCACAGTGGCACGGAGGGAAGGAGATGGACTGGTAAGCGTTGGTTGTGTGGGGGGTGTCGAATGTCCGGGCGGGCAACGCGTCATGCGGGTGCTTGCACCTGCATGGAGCTGCATGCGGCTAGTATGCATGTTGCACATGCGGCCGCGGCCGCGTGCGTGGAGCATGACCCGACGCGCCTGGCATGTATACATGGACTCCGGCCACGGTCTTGCGCAGCACTACGCCCATCCACCACACGTCGTCCTGCAGCATCTCCACCGCCATGCCCGCCTGGTGGCGTGACGCGCGCGGAGCGTATGGCTGATTGCTGTTGGCATCTGCTGGGGCTCCAGGCGGACGGGGCGCACATGCAAACGCGAATTCAAGCGGGCTCCGTGTCCCAAGGCTGCACCATGTATCCACCGGCTCTTTGCCGTGCCCTCTTGGGCCCCTGTCCTGACCTTAAGCTGGTCCCAGCTTGAGAACTTGGCGGCAGCCGGCGGGGTGGGGCGCAGGCGCGCGGCCTCGACAAATTCGACCAGCTGCTCTCCAGTCTCCTCGTCCACGAACTGCAGTTGATTCCGTTTCAGGTTTGGATTGCACGCAACGCGCAGCGATCCTGTCATGTCACACCCAACGCTCAGCTGCTGCACACCAGGTGGGGTTGACACAGCGCGAGCAGGCATGCAGCAACGGGCATTAGACGGAGCGCAGCAGCTAGTTGCGATCTGGCTGCTCGTAAAACAGACAGTACTCTCACGTGGTGGTACTCCATTATGACGCCATTGCGCGCGGCGTCGACCTGCACGACCGTTCCTGTGAACCAACTGGCGGGAAACCCCTCCGTCTCAAGGCCTGCAGCCTCCACGAGCTGATTGACGGTAAACCTCATGGCGCTGTGCCTGCCGAGACGAGGCACTGATCGCGAATCAGATCACATGGATGTGGCCGCGTCCACACACGCGGGCACGTATGCAATTTCGTTTGTCGGCCGCGAGTTCTAGTAGGAGCCCCGCATGCGACGCGTGCGACACGAACTCTCCAAGTCACTATGTCACCCGCCAGGCACTTGTGCAAGTGTCCCCTGAGCAAGCATCCCCTGAGTTGGCAGGCACTCATGCACAACCTCATGACAGGGTACCATCACGACTGTAGTGTGTCCGCATTGCGCACCACGTGGTCTTTAACAGGGCGTTGCCATGACCACAAGGGGGTCAGGACAGGCGCATGCACAAGGGTCCTTGCTTCAAGCCGCCATCGCTCGTGGCGCAATTGCCACACATCTCTGCGACCGCGCGGTTTGCACGTCTGCTGCAACGTTGCTGCCTTCAGGCTGCAAACTCCTGCGGAACCCCCAACAATGGACCACTGCACCTGAAGTTTACGTCAAAGGCACAGGTTTACAGCAAGCTCTGAAGAGCGCTGGATATCTGTCGTGTAAAAGACAAGTAGGCAGAGCAACCAATTAAGTGAAAGCAGTGTCTACAACAAGCACACATAAGGAGAAGGGTGTGCACGCCGAGCTCACAAACAGGGCCCAGTCTGCACGAGGGCGTGTGAGGCACCCTTGATGTGCAAGTGGTGTGCATATGTGCACCCCATCGTGCAAACAGCCGGGCCCGCTTCTTGGCAATGCACCCAGCCACACGCGGTTTTTGAGGCGGCAGGAGAAAGGCGAGCCTCTCTGCCCATGGTGAGCCGGCTCCTTGCCCCTCGGCAAGGGCCGGCCTGCGGGCGTCACTACATCTACTGTTCCTAAAACCAGGCACAAAACGCCGCGTCTCTGTGTCGTTGGAACAAGGAGCGCTCGCTCGATTGCCATGGGGAGGAGTTGTCGCGTGGTACCCTGAATCAAGGGCATGCGCTAGAGGGTGGGAGGGGGGGGTGGGCAACCGGGAACAAAAAAGACCAGGGGAGCGCACTGGCAGCGCTTAGCTGGGAATGATTCAAGCCTCTTGGGGCCACTCGCCGGCCACATCACGCCACAATCAAGCATTCTCAACCCAATTTGCATTCACCAGCCGACGGCACGGGTTTATGCGCCTTCACACGCCGCAGCTTCGCATGCAGCGGAAAATCGAGGCCGCGCGGCATGGCGGCGGTGCGGGCGTGCACGGGGACAGACACAACACAAAGCAATCGACGGTGCTCGATTGGTTCAGCCGTGAACAAAGAGGTGCAAACAAACGGGACACCAGGGGGGGGAGGCGAATCCAGGCCATCACATCACATCAGTAACTGCGCACGCCGCTGCTGCCCCAGGCTGGAAGCTCGGGCGCACTCCTGCTGCTCGGCAGGGCCAGTGCTGACTGGCAGGTTTTAGTGAATAAAATGGCAGGGGACGGCGACACCCGCGCAGAGGCGCAGCCGAAACACAGCTAGTGCTGCTGCTGCTGGTGCTGCTGCTGCTGCAGTGCTCGCGGCGTGGCTGCTGCAGACGACGCTCCGCTGCTGCCGACGCGGCTGCTGCCAGGGGCGGACCCCACGAACACCTCCACGTCAGGCAGGTAGAAGCTGCCGGGGCCTGCCGCGCCGCTGCTGCTGCCGCGGCTCGCCCTCGAGTGCGACAGCAGCGGCTCCCGCACGTCCCCGTCGGCAATGCCCGCCGCCAGCCACGCGCCGCTGCCGTCGATGCTGCTCTCCAAGTCAGACTCGTCCTCCGCCGTCGCCCAGCCCGCCGCCAGCAGCCGCTCGAGCGCGCCGGGCGGCAGCGTCAGCGGCAGGTCCGCGTAGCTGCTGAGCGCCTTCCTGTCGGCCACGTCGACGCCGGTGTCGCCGAGCGTCAAGAGCGCGTCCTCGGCCACCTGGTACGGCAGCCGCTCCGGCCGCTCCGCCAGCGCGCGCAGCACGTACACGACCCGCCGCTGCGCCGCCGCCGACGCGCGCTTGCCGTCGGGGCCGAGCAGGCGCTTGTGGGGCGGATACAAGATGTAGTGCTGAGTCATGAAGACGACGTCAAACCCGATGGAGATGACGGCGAGGCCGAGCTTCACCGGGTTGGCGGTGATTGGGTCCCAGTTGCCGGTGACGTGGCAGGTGAGCAGCTGCTGTCCCAGAGACAGGATGCCTCCCATGAAGTCCAGCAGGATGTTGAGGATCGACCAGCCCTGGGTGCTGCGGCGGCGCCAGTTGTACGTGGCCTGCGGCGGCGGCGGTGAGGGTCAGATACTGTCAACTTATAGGGAAATGCAAGGTGCGCACACGTGTGGCGAGGGCATAAGGCGACACACCACGCAACGCACATGAGGGCAATACCGCATCTCCTCTCTGTACTACCCCTCTTTGCAACCAAACGACCAGGTCACGACCCAGCAGTCCCAAAGCACTAAACATGGCTTGTTCAATCAGCAGCAAATCGGGCCCGAACCTGAGGGATGTACTTCAGCAGCGTCACCACCATCTTGATGTACGACAGGAAGTACAGCCACAGCACCCACTCCAGCCAGGGCTCCAGCCACGCGCGCACAGACAGCAGCCCATGCTCAAACAGCCGCTGCTTGCCGGCAATCGCCGCGCCGTACACGCCGGCGGCTGTTGCTGCAGCTGCGATGCCGGTCAGGACGGCGGGGTGGACGCGCTGCTTGCCGCGCGGGTAGATGATGCACTGGGCGGCGGTGACCAGGGTCACGATCAGCGCGTGGACCGCAAAAACTACGTCATTGTACTCCACGGCAAACTGTTGACAAAGATATGGTAAGTGGATGTGTGGCGAGCGTGTCGCTCTCAGTACGCACTCCGGGCAGCAGTGCAGCGGCGCGCCCAGAGGGCGAGTGGGCGTGGAAATGACTGGCCCTGCAACGCAGCCGCGGGCAAGTAAGCACACCCCGCAGGAGCGCATGTACACCTGGCACATGGAAATGCCGCACACACTGCCCACCTGGCAGAAGTCGGTTGTCCCGACCGCCAGCACGTCGGCCGCCCGGGGCCCTGCACCCAGGAACGCTGCCTTGACGCCCTCGTGCTTTGCGGGGGGGCACTCAAAGACAGTGTAAATGACAACATTGAACGTCGAGTAGGCGACCCATCCCAGGAGGTTGAGTGCCAGGTAGTCGAAGGACTGCGGGAGGGGGCGGGTGCCGACAGGGCGGGTGAGCACGGGGTGATGAACGCCCTGACCGGGCGCAGCCGGCCGCCTCAGCGATGCGACTGTACGAGGCAGCTGCGACCGCATCGTGCATCTGCAGTGGCCGCGGCAGCCACTCACGAGTCCAGTGACATCCTTGCGTCTGAAATTGAGTATGACTTGGGGCCTGCAAAGTGCATGTGTATGGTGCATGGGGGTGGGCACATGCACAGAGCGCAGACATGACGGCGCCGCCTGATTTGGGGGCAGCAAGCACTGCGCTTGTCCCCGCCATAAAATTGAAATTCTCACCAAAACGATAAACTCCAAGCGATGGTATAGGTCCAACCCGCTCCGGCTTGAATCGAAGCGACCCATCTATCCGATATCTTGGGGTTCGGCCAAGCCCATCCAAGCAAAGCTCCAGAGACTGCGATAGCTGTCAAAAGTACCCACACAGGGACTCGCCAGCCCTGCGGACTGGAAGGTGCAAACATGGCGCGCAGCTGTGAATGACGTATAACTGGCCCGTGAATTTCAGATAAGATATCTGATACGTCGTGATGTATTGTTGCAACGTGCGTCCGGGGATTTCGACCAGCATTCCACACCTGATGCCTTTCTCCCCGCCACAGAGTGCGACCTCTCGTCATGGCACGTCCTCATCGCCGCTACCCCCTGGGATTTGAGGCTGTGCTGGCCCATGCACTTTGTCAAGTGTTGAATTGTGCTCAGGACCTTGAGCAAATTGCATAATCTGCATGGCGCAGCTGTGGTGCTAATAGAGAGCATGTGCTGCAGCCACCCCCCAGGACCATTACTACGCTCCCCCTGCCACATGGGTGGCGGCGCATGGTAGACCAAGCCACGTTCCTGCGCCAAGCACCGGGGAAAAACACGCTGTCATATGTTACTCATTTGCCTTTCTTCCCGCCCTTGGCGGCTGCGACGGGCGCCTGCACCACCGCGCTGCTCTCGCCGCTGCTGGCCGCTGACTGCAGCAGGCCGCCCGCCTGCGGGCCCGGCGACAGCAGACAGGCGCGCAGGCATTGTTAGATGCGGCGTGCACCAGAAGGTTGCATCCTGGCACCTTCAGCCAAGGTGAAGTGCCAGGCAGCAGTTTACCGCGCCCCATTCCAGTATGCGATCACCCCTGAGTAGCTGATGTCACTCCGGTATCACCCGCGCCCACAACCCCCGCTGCGCATGCATCGGCACTCCTAGTGCAACTCACCACGAACATGACCTGACTCCAGGCTGAGAGCTCGTCCCCCTCGCTGGCAGACATGCGCATCAGCACCTCCTCAAAGCTGCCCACCTGCGGTGCGGGTAGGCAGGCAGCGACGCCGCGCCGCCGCGCGCGTTCAGGCGCCCGCACGCTCGCGGCCGCGTGCGTTTGTATGTGCGGGCGTGTGCGCACGCGTTCGAAGCGCGTGCGCACATATGACGACAATGTGAGCCCATACGGCGACCGCAGGGCTCCCGATCCCGCAACGGCTCTCGTGACCCCGAAAAAAACCGGCCGCACCTCGATCTTGGGCAGCGGCGCGGCCTCTATGCTGGCCGCCCGCTCCAGCGCGGAGTCCAGCGCGCCGCGCGCCTTGGACGCGCGCGACTCCAGCACCACCTTGTCGCGCCCCTTGGCGGCGGCCGCCGCGTTCATCGCCTCCTGATACTCCTGGCAGCCGCAAGGATGAGATGACGCGCAAACGCAGCAGCGGCTTACCAGTCAGGCGATCTGACGAGCACGATTCAGCACTGAGGCCATCGCATCGTCGCACCAGCCACTCTCGCACCAGCCGTGTGACCGCTCATCCCTTCCGGCTGCAGCGCGCCCGCCGAGCGCGGCCCGCCCCAGCGCGCAGCAACCCCGAACCCCCCGCGCGCCTGCTCATGCTTCGCGGCCTCGCTGCGCGCCGCCCCTATGGCGGCCGAGTTGCGCTGCCGGTGCGCGCCCTGCACCGCCACGTCCAGGTCCTCCTTGCACAGGAACAGCGGCACGTATTGCTGCGGTGTGTGTGTGTGTGTGTGTG